CAAGAAATGGATAATAAGCTTCTTTTAAATAAGTACATTTATCAACAGCTAAACCATCTTCACCATATTGAAATTGTATAACACTTCCATCACTATCACGAACAGTTAAATCATAATTAACAACTAAACCTTCTAAATGTTTCATTAAACAACGTTGTAAATAACCAATACGTGCAGTTTTTACAGCTGTATCAATAAGACCCTAATAAAAGATAAGTAATTTTTTAATAGAAAAAAAGAATATGTTGTTAGTTCATACTTCACGTCCAGCCATACAATGAAAAAAATATTCTTGTGGACGAATACCACTTAAAAAACTACCATCAACAAAACCTCCAGATCTTGGTGAATATTCATATGGACGAAATGATGGAAGAGTTCGACCACTTGGCATCATTGGTGGACGTTTACCTTCTAATTCTTGTTGACCAAGTAAACATGACATTTGCATGGCATTTACAGTTGAACCTTAAACAAAATATCAGAAAATAAAAGGTTTATAAATGAAAGAGATCAATATAGAATTAAACTACTGATGTCGGTAACACTTATACTAGCATTGAATTGTTAATCATCTTTACTTAGATAAAGTGATTCAAATCGCACAGGACAACTTTTTCTTTGTGATCTTATACATCCAATGTGAAGGAATCATATAAAGCGCAAGTATATAGTTTGTTAGAAAGTCATGAATTGAATTCATCTAATCTAACATTTCGGAACTCGATTGGACATAATTGATTCGAATTCTTAAATCTTAAGTCTAAATCATATTGAGAGTACAGGATAAAACTTGTTCATAGTACACATTCATCCAGTTTTTTAATATAGATTCTACCTATTTGAATATAGAGGGAAATAGCGGAGGCTTCATGCATGAAGTCTTTCAAGAAAACCGAAGTCTACATTTATTCTCGTCTTTTTATTCAACTTGTATCAAAATAATACAAAGGAATTAAATACCAAATAGATTAATTAATAATTCGTACCTTTAGCACCCGATTGAATTAAAAACTGTAAATTATTTTCCGGGAAGTGTTTGAATAAATTTGACATACATTGTTTAATAATTTGATTTTGAAATTCATCAATTGATGTTTTATAATTCGCATCCATTTCTTTTGATACACGTTCGTCAAATGATTTCGAACAAAATGCTTTAGCAAATTCATCCATAAGTACTTGTTCGTTAGAATCGTCTGGCGTAGAAAATGTTTTTTGAAGAGCATTTCGACCTGCTTGAGCACGACATTCATTTATAAGTCGACGACGATATGATACACCAGGTGGAAGTAAAAGAACATCTGTAGAAGAAACAGTTTTTTCTTTTATCGATCAAAACAAAAGAGATTTGTTTTTACCTTCAATACCAAGTGTAAATCCACGATAATACTGTAGAAAAAGTGTAAATAATTTCGAAAATGCACTAACTAAATCAGCAGCACAACGTTTTCCATATAATTCATAATAACAATGAACAACTGAAGCAAGTGTTGCACCACAATGTGCTTTATCAATTAAACCAGATAGAAGATGACCTTGACGAATAATAACATCGGTATCAGCCATTAAATCTATATTTGTTGCACCTGGTTTCGATGGCCATGACTTTACGAAAATACATCAAAATTGTTTTTTTGAACTATTTCATATAAAAGTTCTTACTTTCATTGAAAGCTTAGATTTACTATCAAGATTGAGCGGAGATTCTTTAGCTGGTTGAATATAGAGAAGAACTGTTGAAATAATCTGTTAAAAGAGAATTTTGTGAAAGAATTTTATTTAGAAAAAAATATATATACTTGTTTTCCACTCCATAATTGTTTTGGTTTGATAATACATGGTGGTAATAATTGAATTTTTCGACGAGAATTCGATCCAATAGAATTATATACAAGTTGTTGATAATCCGCTCTAGAAAAAAAAAATAAATAAAAATTCTCTAAGAAAATAATTCAAAACTATACTTCTCAAAAAATCGATCACGCATAGTTAATGAAGTACCCGCAACTACATGATCTTGAATAAGACCTGTTAATGGTGTTCCATCTTTACTGACAAGAAAATGTTGATAAGTGATCACTATAGAAAAAAATAATAATTTCAAGTGTCTATTCAATAAAAACCAAATTACTTAATTCAGCAGCTTCAGCTCGTGTTAATTCATTTTGTGGTAAATGAATATTCATTTCATCACCATCAAAATCAGCATTATATGATTTACATTGAGCATAATGTAATCGTAAAGTTTTTTCACCAGGTAATACACGAGCCTATAAATAAATATTATAGTAAAAAAGAAGAAGAAAAGTAAAACTTCATTTACCATATGCGCTTGTATACTGGGTCGATGTAATGTTGGTTGACGATTTGCAAGAACATAATCACCATTTCGTAAATGTCGATAGACTTTTTTCGTAGACATTAAAGTTGTATTTCCATGTTGTTTTTCTCTTGTTAATAAAAGTTTTGCAACAGCAGTTCGTTGTGATAAATTATTCGGTAATAAACGACGTATTGTCCCATCTTCAAGTTCAACAAAATTTGCTCTAAAATATTTATTTGTATTAGACATTATGTCTGAAAAAGAGTTTTCATACCCAGGATGAACATCTGGTCCATTAAGAATTAATTGTCGTAATTCATGAACATTATGTGGTGTAACTAATTCTGGATATGTTAATTTTTTTGCAAATATTTCAGGTATTCCAACTTCATATATAGCAATAAATGGATCAGGTGATATAACTGATCGACCAGCGTAATTTACACGTTTACCCATCATATGCATACGAAATAAACCTTCTTTTTTTTCAATAACCTTTTCAAAAAAACGAATTCAGCTTCTTCTATAAGACAAAAAACGAATCTGAACATACTTGTCGAATACCTTTAGCTACTCGACCACCACTTCGATTATCCAATGAACTATCAAATATGGAATTAACAGTAATTTGCATTTTAAGCCAAAGATTATTAAGTTTTTCTTCATTAGTTGCACCACGTAATGTATTAATTAACGATGATGAACGACTCTAAAAATTTTCAAGTATATGTCTATCGGTTAAAAAACAAAATCTTACATGAGTTGATGTTGGTATATCAGATGTTTGTTTATCTTTTAATAATAAAAGTTCTTTTATTAATTGATTATCTTGTATAATTGATGAATAACGAACTGTTTTAGGATTTTCAAATTTTTGATCATTAAACGATAAAACCTTTAGAAATAAGAAAATGTTTTTTCTCTCTCTCTCTTAATAATTTTAACATACAGGACGAAATTTTGATGGAAGAACAGGTAAAACTTCAAAAAAGAATAGACTTATTGGATTATTATAAACATTTGTTATTGAATGATGTGGTGATGATCGTAAAGTAGCTAGATAAATTCCAAGAACTTCTTTTTCATTTGCCCAAATCTTTTCAAAATGTTTTAAAACATCTAATGGTGTTAAATACATTTGACCGGACATCATTTTTGTTACCAATTCTTCTTCAGTATTATCTATTACTTCATCATCGTCATCATCATCATCATCATCCATTTTTTTCTTTTGTCTAAAATTTGAAAATTTACTTTTTTTCTCAAATAATTCATCATAATATTTACCGAACATTCGACATACGTTGTTGATAAGCTTTTATTTGTTTATTTGAAACTGCTTGAGAATAAAATAATTTTGTATGTGAATCAGCTCTCAATGAACGTGAAGGTGTATTACAATTAGGGCAAAATTTTTCTAAATAATTTTTTATTAAATTTTTTCGAGAAAAAAGAATAAAATTCCTTACTATGACTTTTAAATGTTCGCGATTCAAAATCTTTAATAAGTTGTTGTCGTATAGCTAATAAATTTTTTGTTGTTGATTCTATTTTAGTTGATGATGGTGGATTTAATTTCATATGTTCATTGATCTGTTCATAAAATGTATCTAAAGATTTTCTTTCTAATACCCACATTTTATAAATTGATTGTAAATTATCTATTTCATTTGTTTGACCATGTTTTAAATAAAGCATTTGCATACTAAATAAATATTTTTCTGCATTTGAACATTGAATTGTATGACAATGTAGGCAACAACCACGTAAAACCTTCAAGAGAAAAAAAACCACTAGAGAGATAGGAAATTCTTTTTTTTCTAACTCACGTTCACAAGATTTCGAAAGAAAACAGGATTGTAAACAGGTAATACAAGTGATATATGTCCGAGATGACCTGGACAAGCAACAAATCCTTGACCACATGTAAAACAACGATCATTTTTATCAAATGGTCCTAGTGCTAGATCATATGGACCACCAGATACAGGTGCACCAAGACGATCAATTGCTTGTGATGATGTTAATTCTTTCACACTTAAACGACGAATTTCTTCTGATGTATAATTACTGTATAGAAGACCACCTATAGTGGTATCTGATGGATAATAATTAATTGTATCCATCTAGTTTTGGATTTGGAAAAGAAATGAAATACGAAAAAGCCAAAAAATTCATAGGATCAATCTGTAATATGAATGGTTAATCAGGGAAAACCGATTAGAAAATGTGTTCAAGTTCGTTTTATTATTAACTAAATAAAAATAAGTAAAATATAAGAAATATTTCATATTTATTGAAAAAAATAGTAAGATAAAAGTCTTTGAGTAGTATGAAAGAGGACGCTACATGACATACTATAATATTTCGTAATTCATCAAGAAAAATCTACAAAATTTCGGTAAACACCAACTACTGCTGCCATCTGTTGCTATTCACATTCATTCATTTTCTAGAATTTATTTTATTTTTCATCGAAAAAAAATCTTTTCAAAGAAGATATTTTCTTATTTTAATAAAAAAACATCAATAGTGGTTTCTAGTCTTATGTTTTTATTGGTTAAATCTAATCGCCATTCTCACATTGAACTAACGTCAAATCAAGTTTATTCAATTTAGTTGTGTTGTGTTTTGTTGTTGTTTCGCTTTTTAAAAGTTAGATTCAACAAGAATAATGACAACATTACCACCAATTCAACCACGTCCAATTCTATGTAAAACACCAACAACAAATAATAGTCAATCATCATCATCATCATCAGTTTTTCTTATTCATTCATCATCTACTCAACCTTCAAATGTTATCAATACAAATTTTTATTCAACAAATAATGATCAAACAAATAATAATAATAACAATACATCACAAATTCTTCCTCCTCCTTCTTCTATGCCTTCAACACCATTATCTTCCTATGAAGAATTTGTCAAACGTCTACGTGAATTTCATCGATGTCGTCAGTATGTATCATTCAATATAAATCAAAGACAATCTATTTCTCTTCTTTCTAGAACAACATTTCGTTATTTACCAACAATTGCTGGACAAGTTGTTGATTTACAAGCATTATATACAACAGTTGTTGGTCATGGCGGTTGGGATAAAGTAAATGATCGACAATTATGGTCAATAGTTGCGAATAATTTTGGTATTGATTCAACATGCCTTAATGGTACACAAGCATTAAAGAATATCTATATTAGGTATGAAGAGTAATCAAATGCTTATAATCTATTACATACAGCGATTGTAAAAAATCTTATTATTGAGTGAAAAAGCACTTAACCTTCAAGCACTTTTTTGTCTGATAGTCTAAATATGTATAGAGCATCATTATCGATAGATTTAAGTTAAAAAGCATGTTTTGTTTTTATATTTAAGTGAATTTGTCACTGTTTTATTCAATTTACTGCGAGACAGATAAATTTTCAACTCAAGATAAAATAGATCTTGACCTTCTCGTTCGTCTTTACGAAGGCTGATCGTTCTCTGATCGGCCCTTGCGATCAGGGTTCTATTTCTAATGAATTCAAGTTTTCGATTAGGAATATATATAACTAGGAGTAGGACAGTTCGTAGTTCCAAGTTCGGATGAACTGATCAAAAGAACTATTAAGCAGTTCCCAAGAACGGAACTAATATGGAACTGTCCTACCCCTATATATAACATCGACTAATATCAATAAACTCTTTGAAAATCTATAAAATTGTTATCCATCCATATTCATACTTCTCTCCGACTCTGATCTGAGATACTTTGCTACCCTTGTGAAATATCTTAGAATTCATGTGACTACTAAAACATCGTAAATGTAATATATTATCCGCTGAAATAGATTACATTGTCATACAATTATATTCATTAGCTTCGATAATGATCATCTCGGGAATTGTCAAAGAGTACTATTCATTCTACTTCTATATAATGTTTTTCAAAATCAGTCGGACGTATTACATAGATCTAATTTCATTAAAATAATAACTTTTTTTGTCTCATAGATATTTATATGCATTTGAGAAAATTAGTAATGGTGAAAGTATTGATTCACGTGATGATGATGATGAAGATGCTAAACGACGTAATGTATCACACTTACAACGTGTACCACAATCGTATAATCAAACTCAACATATTGTTTCCGGTATATGAGAACGCTTTTTTTTAAATATTTATTAATAATTTTTTTGTATTAGATTCCTTACGTGCTCAATACGGACTTTTCCGTGATTTTGTTAATCGAAATGAATATGAAAAAATCGAATTAGCATTATTATGTGGTTTTCCAAATGAATTAACATTTACATTAAATACACTTTTATTATTATCATCAACAACTAATAATTCTATAACATTTCAATTATATAAATGTCCACGTTTATTAGATATTTTACTTCGTCATATTGGTTTATTTTTATCAAATGATCCAACAATACATGATCATCATTTAAAAAGTTTATATGATAATATATGGTCAAAACATATCAATTATCAAATGGAACAATTTTGGTTGGAATATTGTTCATCAGATATTCTTAAACAATTATTAAATATTGAAAAGAAATCAAATTTAAAATCATCTTTATATAATAATTTTAATCTTAATTCAAATGAAAATCAACAACAACAAGAACTTCGTATTGAACAAATTTTAATGATTATACGAAATTTTTCATTTGATCGTTCAAATGCTATTTATTTACTTGATACAATACGTCCATCATCATCAATAACATATATTTTTTTATTATTAATATCATATTGTGAAAAAAAAATTGAATTACAAAAATATGCATATGATATATGGACAAATTTAGCATCATATATGCATTTACGTTCCGTAGGTAATGATGAAGGACATTTTATTCGACAATTATTAAGTTTTATGTTAAATGGTGATGACGATGATAAACAACAAGATCGTTTAAAAATTATTCGTGCGTTAGAAATTATTGCTAATTTAGCTCATGCTGGAAATGATAATGAAATATATTTAATTGATTTTATTGACGTTATTATTCAAAGACTTATTCATGTATCAGATATACTTATATTGGTACATACATTAGAATGTTTATATCAATTATCAGAACTAGGTAAATTTTTATATATTAGATTAACCCTACGTGGTTATCGTGGAGTCCACGTGGATCCATTTCACAGTCTTTTATTCGATACTACATCAAAAGCTCTCGCTTGGGACCAATATCGTTATCTAGTCCTATGTTGGTCTATATCATCCTTATTAGAAATCACGGATAAGTCTAGTAGATAAACAACGCAGCTGTGAGTTCGGCTGGATCCTACGACAACTTTATTGTTATCAGCATAAGTTTCGTCTTGTTAAAGCTGGCGTCTGTTGATTTACAGTATCTCAGGGATGTGGTTGACTGTGTTTCCTTTATACACCCACGCATCCTGGTTTTGTAATTTTCGATAGGTGGATCCAGACGGACCCTACGACAACTACAAAGGCTTAATGCAAGAATGTCTTGATTTTCGAAACTAATACATTTTTATAGACTAGATGTGAGTAATCATAAATGTAAGACCGACAAATCTATGATCTCTTAAAACTAATTGATGAATATAAAAGTACCATATTTCTTGGCAATAATTCTTACGTCCGATTAGTTATTTTCATTTTCGATTTAATTAATTCGTAGCGATAAACTGTTTATTGTATTGATTTGTTCGATATAAATATATTTATTCGTAGGTGAGCAATCGTGCAATGCGATATTAAAAGTGCAGTCATCAACACCGATAATAACAACATTAATTGATTTATTGACAATTGAAGCCAGAAGTTTTTCATCTCAAACAATAAAAACAATAAAAATTGTTGAAATGTCAACAGGTCCAGTACTTCTTCCGTCTTATCATCAACCGCCTTCAATACAACAGACATTAAATGCTCCACAATCTGTTGTTGTAATCTCAACAGGTCAACAACAACAACCGCAGCCGCAACTACAACAACAACAACAGACATATGCTATTGAAAATACAGAAATAAATAAAAGTTATTATAGTAATAATAATAAACTTATTATACAGCAACATTCAAAACCAATAACAGTAGCGAATGTTATTACATCAGGAAATCTTTTAGCAGTTGCAACACCATCTACACAAAATCTATCAACAACACCAATCATTGTTGCAAATACAAATGCACAATCGAATCAAATTTTAGATAAAAAACGAAAACATGACTGTAAATATTTGAAGTAGTTTTTAGTTATAAAATCCAAATCTATTTTTTAGCTATTTCGGAAACAATTGCTGCTGTTGTTAATGGTACATCATCATCTCCCTCACCATCATCAACTCCACCACCGCCAAAACGTGCACGTCCTTCTCGTCCACGTACTACTCCAACAAAAAATGCCGTTATTATCGCACCGACACCACCACCAGTAACACCATCACGAATTATGCCATCATTATCTATTGAAGATGATACAAGTAGTATGGAAAGTAATAGTACAAGTAACAGTATTCATTCAACTATGGCTGATTTACTTGATCGATGTTCATCACCACCACCACCACCATCATCATTAATAAAAAATTCATTCGAAGATGATATTCGTTTGTGTCTAAACGATCTATGTCATCGAGTTGCTTTAAGTCTAGATGAATCATTACCATCAACATCAATAATCTATAATTCAATTCCATCACCGGTATTTAAACGTAAAATCGATGAACAATCATTATTAAATAAACGAACAACAAAACCAATTACTCCTGTTGAAGAACAAACACCAAAGAAAAAACGTAATCGACCATCAGCAAAAAAATCTTTAATAGAAGTTGCAACATCAACACCTAAAAAAGAAGAACCAATTGAACATGAAATACAAGATATTAAACCAAATATTTCAACAATTAATTCATCGGATTATATTTGTGAATGGGATAATTGTCGAAAGTAAGAAAAAATATTAAAATTATCAAAAGAAACTTATTAATTTATTATTTAATTAGATCTTTTCCAACAGCTCGTTCTGTTTTTCATCATGCATGTTCAGCTCATATTAAATATTCACCTGAATATGTTTGTCTATGGAATGGATGTGATCGAATTAAACGACAAAAATGGGCATTAATTAGTCATATTCAAGTATAATTTCTAATATATTTTGATTGTTTTATTCATCTATTTATTTAGGAACGTCATTGTTCGGAAATTGCTTTTCGACAAGCTAAACAAAAACTAACTAATCCCATTCTTCCGACAAATTCTAATACCGCCACTATATCAACGACAAGTAATGGTCCAACAGCAACCACAACAACAGCAACAGGTACAGTTGGATATGCACCTGATGCTGCTTGGCTTGCTGTTCGACGTCACATGCAAATAAGTTCATTTGATGATTTATTAGTATGTTTTTTTCGATTCTATTTAAAATTTTATTAAAATAAGTATGTATAAATCTATAATAGATTAAAACTAAAGAAGGACCATTAACAAAAAGTATTCGACTTACAGCTGCACTTATTTTACGTAATATTGCTCGACATTCATCGATTGGAAAACAGTAAATTTTAATAATTAATTATAATCATTGAATTTATGTTTTTATTTTATTTTAGAAATCTCCGTCAATATGAACAACATCTTGCAAATTTAGCTCTTGAATCATCTGAAGCATCGACTATACTTAGTTCCTGTTTATTTGAACTTTATAATTGATGTTTTTGTTTTGTGCTAAATATATATATTCTATCTTTGTTCTTCAATGTAAATGCATTGTGTGCATATATATATAAATGTAACGGTCGTTTTCTTTATGTGAATGTGTTCTGGTTTGTTTTCTTTTTTGTACTATTTTTCTATTTGTCTTGAATAACATGAAACTATAAAACATATCGACAACATTTTCAAAATAATGTTATGATTATAAAAAAAAAGAAAAGAAAACAATTCATTTGCGTTTATTCATTATTGTTTTGGTCTCATATGTAATTATGATTTCACCGTTCTTAGTCAAGAATAAACATACTTTTTGTTAAACTTTCTATTTAAAAAATGAATGTAAAGAATATCGTTTAACATAATATACGGTGATATCAAGTAATCCGGAGAGTAAAAATCGGGAAAAGAAACAAATCATCTCGAAAGATTTTGCCGTGTGGGTGATAACGTCGGTGTGAAACACAAGTACTCCGTACCTATACACCCACGGATAGATTCACTCACACCCATCCACATCTTGAACTAGGGGTAGGACAGTTCACAGTTCCAAGTTCAGATGAACTGGTCAAAAGAACTATTACACAGTTCCTGAGAACGGAACTAATATGAAACTGTCCTACCCCTACCTTGAACATCCACAGCTACAACAACGATCGTGTCGAGCTTCTCGAAGGATTCTCACTTCTGGTGGCTTCAAAGAAATGACTTCATCAGATTATCTATAGTATTTATACATCTTTTACTTGTTATGTCTTCTATCATTAATAAACTTCGAGTAAAGTTTTTCTAGATTTTTCTTTTCTGGATTACTTGATATACTAGAACATACGATTCGAGATAAAGACTAGATGAAGTCTACATGTAATTTACCGACTTCATTGTAAAATGATACTACAAAATAATTAATATTTATAATATTGTAGAAACACCTTGAAAAGCCGGCTCAAATTCAATGATTATGAACTTAAAAAATTGCGTTAATGGTTGGATAATTTCTTTGTTCTATTTTATCTATTAAATGTGTCTTAGATTGAACTATATATTAAATAATGATATAATACTGAAAAAGTTCATTATGTTTAAATATAAATGATTTTTCACGCATTAGTTGTTTTTATCAGGATAAAGAAGTGTGAATGTCAATAGTTTGATGCATGAATTATTTATAAATATAGTAGAGGATAAAATTTAATTAATATTATGCGTCGTAGAGTATTAGATTATATAAATAAGAAAAGATACTTGTAAAATAAGCATTCTGTTTTTATATGTCATCTATTACAGACGTAGTAGCTGTAACTCAGCTTATTCTCTCTCGTTATATACTTCCCATATGTTTGATACTAGGTATATTTGGTAATATATGTAATATTTGTATATTTATACAAAAAAAACTTCGATCGAAACCATGCGCTATTTATTTTATTGCTGCATCTTTTATTAATTTATTAATTATTATCTTTGGAATTATTCCAACTATAGTTGCATCATATATAATTGATCCTATACTTTATTTATCATGGGCATGTAAACTAAAATTATATGGATTACATTCACTTTTAATGATGTCTCGTTCATATATTGTTTTAGCTTGTATTGATCAATATATTTTTTGTTCATCAGATATTCATGTACGATTATTTAGTCGTCGTCAAATAGCATTAAAACTAATTTGTATAGTACCCGTTATATGGATTCTTATACCGCTTCATATATTAATTTTTGTTGATGTACATATACCTTATGTTCGATGTGGCCCATCGAATGCGTATGGTCTTATCTATAGTATATATTCATTTGTTTTTACTTCGTTACCACTTATTCTGATGGTTCTATTTTCATTATTAACATTTTATAATATACGACGAATAAGTCGACGAATTTTACCAATTTTTAATAACCGACGATCTGTTGACGGTATACGATTTCGAAGGTATGATTATCAAATAATGCGTATGCTTATTTGCCAAGTAATTGTTTATTTTATTTCTACTATTCTTCATCCAACAAATACATTATATAGATCATTAACGATCATTTCAAAAGATAGTCCAGTAAAAAGTTCATCCCGTCAAGCTATTGAAGACTTTATTACTTATCTTACATGGAGCTTTTTAATCTATCTTAATTCATGTTCAGCATTCTATATTAATTTTTGTGTATCTCAAGTATTTCGATCACGTTTTTATCGTTTGATAAATTATCTATTGAGTTGGTTACGATATGATCAAGAAGGACAAAGGCTATTTGTTCAAAATAATAGACGTATATCCGTAGAAATGAGATCATTACAAAGACAACAATATTGATATTAAAAGCAAATGATTTTACAATAAATCTATCATTATATTATGTCAAGATTTTGATTTTATTATTAATAATCATATCAATTTCATTTGCAATAGAAATGCAAAATATTACAATTGTTTACTTTAGTTATCCAGTTCATTTTGTTTTCTTATATCTATAGATATTGCCAATAAATCATCCTATCTATCAATCAATCAAGCACATCCTTATCTAAATTCTACTACTAGTGCTCGTTTTCATGATATTATTGTCAATAATATATTTCAAATTAGTTTCAGTAACTGTTGTTGTCTTCTCGTTTTTAGATTTTACGTGTATTAAGAGTGATAAATATTCTATTGATTGTAAGACGTATGTCTTTATTCGATATTTGATGATATACGGCATTTTAGTTAGTTAACAAATGTCTTTCTGTATATAGATTTCGTCGGAGAATTGATGAATTAATGCATTGTGCAATTCTTGTTTTAATAATATCGTATAGACATAGTAGATCACTGACCCCATCCACGCCCTAAAAATCAATGGCTTTTTAAATTGATTCATATGATTAAGTCTGAAGTATGATCCTTCAACATATGTTATTTACAACGATCGATCGAACGAGCTCTAGATTTATTCAAATTGTTCTATCCCTTCACATAGATATACTACATTTTATGATTATATTATTTAATGGGCTTAAAACATACTTGATTCTATGTTACGATATACCAGTAATGAAATCCCATAAGACGGAAATAACGAAAAGAAGTAACCATATGTATCTATTATGCTCTATCGATATATTTTTCTATTATTGTTTTCCTTTCTTTGTTATGTGTAACGTTTTATGCGTATTCCCAATATACCCTTCTGGTATTTTCTATGTTCTTTCATTTCATATATATTGTATAATTAATGCCGGTTTCCATGTAAAGATGATCGACGAAGCTCAGTGTGGTTATCTTAAAGCAGTTTACTTAAAATAAACTATAACGATTGACTTGTTTTAAAAATAATATAAAAGATACATGTTGATGTATAACAACTATCAACATGTGACATCATGTTATCTTTAATATTTATTAATAGACAAAATTTATATTACTATATAATCAGATCTATAATTTCGGTCTGATAACCAGATCAACGTTTTTACATTACACAGATTTTATGAAGCTGGTAGCTCTGATCGAATGTTATTTAATTGTCATATGTGTTTTTCATCAGTAACCAAAAATTGTGAAAAACAAACATAAGAACAGATGTATATCTATTTACTTAATTAATCATTATTTTTTACTGTGGATCATTAATTAAACAATAATCTCATAAGGTAATTTTGAATATAACAAATCTATGATCCAAATATCGATTTATACTTATAGACGAAGTCTGAGATTACTTGTATATTCTCAAGAAACTCATATAAATTTATAGTTATTTTTATAGACTCTCTCATCGTGATCTTTAAAGCAATATTATACTGTGACTTGCGAGATTTGTAAAGAATTATTTAACCATATATAGAAACCAACACTATATAATAGAGTTCATTACATGGGCGGCACAAGTTCCGTTTTTTAGAGAAAATAATAAATTCCTATCATTAGCTTAGATTTTTCTAGGGGCAGTAATTTACATATTCTGTAGTAGCGGCACATTGCCCATGACTGAATTTATCATAGTTTTGCTATTGTATATTCAAAAAACTAGCAGACTTAGGGGAAGCAATAACCTTTTATTGCTTCCTCAATCTTTTTCAAGAGGAAGCAATTGCTGTCTACTGTAGTGCTGATGCATCGCCCATAAAATTCATAAGCAGACATCAAGTATCGTTTCATCAAAGTTATTTTTGTCAGAATATTTAAAAATTAAACCTACAGAACAATTACTATATATATATTATGCGTACATTTATATAGAAGTTAAATGAGTAAAATAAATTATTGAGCATAACATACTTTATTAAACGGAAAATTTTGCTTTTATTAACATTGGTTTACGTCTACATGTATGTATTCTTTAAATATTATTATAATGTCATCATTCGTTTCTTATCTGAGAATATATGTCACAAAATAGATGTTTTGGATGTCTGATGACATTGTATCCATATAAAATAACAAAAGTATATAATAAATATCGTTGAAATAGTCTTTGTTTTCTCTTGATAATATCTAATCATCCTATTTATCTAGTTTAAATAACATAGAAAAAAAAATTTTTTAAACGTAATTTGAATCTCGAATGATCATACATTTTGCGTATTTACTAAGATTAATTTCTTCTAATAACTATCATGTGGAGTATATTTTATTACAATTAATTTAAAAAAAGTATATTTTCTAGTCATTATTCTTCTATGACATTTAGCTTTTAATCTTAAGTGATATAATAGAACGTGACTATCATGAAATTAAGTATTATTTCCGCTTTTTTTCTTATTAATCTACATGAGATGAGCTTTGCATGAGTATGATATATATGCTTTATATTTACTGTTGTCGTTTGTAAATTCGTCATTGTAAATATACTCGTAGTAATCATTAAAGTTTCTAATGAATATCTCTTTATATGTCCTCATGTCTATTAATCGTTTTAGTCCATACATATATATGTATATACATGTATCCATAATCAAGAACTGTCAATAGATTTATTGTTTTTCTTGATATATTCTATTACTGTCATTCGTTGTATTTAGTAAAGTTGAATATACGTATGTACATTTAATTAAGTTTCTTTTTTGTTGAAAAATAATTATTACTTTTTAAGCTATTATCAATGACATAGTACTCTTATTTTTTTAACCTTTTCTTTATAAATCTACCTATTCATATTTTTATATCAATCGATAAATTATACTACGTAGTCAAGAAGTTATACGTCTATACTTTTTTTTCTTCTTATATGAATTATGACTATCATTACTTGAAAAATAAAAAGATAAAAGTAAAGATTATCTATCTCGAAGTATTTTGTCGTATGTTTTCTTCTTTACTATGCACCATTTCTATCAATATTTAAAATACGTATTTGCATAATAACTAACGAATAAACGTAGGATGTTAATGACAAATAAATCTATTAAATATCATGCTATGCTCATTTTTCTTTTCTTTTCTTTTTTTTTCTTTTCTTTTCTATTATACAAACACAATTTCTTCATATATTTTTCATGCATTGAATATAATCTTATTTTCTTTGATGCGCATCACCACTCGAGCTTCTGTTTCTAAATAATCCGTTAAACGACAAAACAACTCACATACAATATAACAGAACTACTATTTTTAAAGTAAACATATGTATGCATATAAAAGGCTTTTTCTTTATTTGTGCTACAACGTCTTCTGCTGATTTTAGTTGATACAAAAATAAATATCAATTAGATATAAATAGCACAAACATTAGAGTAAAATCGAACAGATCGATAGTAAGCATTTATTAATAAATAAATTCAAAAATTGAATAATAGTTATCCATATAGATATATATAGTCGTTCTGCTTACTTTCTCTTCTTTAATATCTTTCAATCAGTACATATGTATATACAACGCTTATTTGTCGTTCTCTCACTTTTTCTTATATTCATCGTCTTTTCTTTTTCTATTTCTCTTTTTTTCGAACTGATTTGTTGGTTTCTGCCAAAATAAACGACATCAAATAGAAGTGATGATGATTTTTCACGTTAGCCTCTGTATAGATATACATGTGTCTGTATCGTGTCCTTTATTGAGTCATATACTTTAATTAATACCATTGTCTACACCATATATATATTTATATACACATATATATTTATACACGTTTATTTTGTACACACACAAACAAGTTTTTGACGCATCATCGCTTTTCTTCACGAATATAATACTCTCACCCGTAACTAATTTTTATTTTATAGTTTTACTATATAATCATGTTGTTGATGACAGGTATGTTGTTTTTCAAAAATGCATATTTGTATCATATTAAAAACAAATAGATAGCAAAGTTTTTTTTTTAATATTCTAAATGATTTCAAATTATCACTAATGTCATGCTAATTGATGTTGAATCATTACATTTATCATTTTGATGACTCATAGATTCGTTTTGAAAAATGAGTAACACTTCCTTTTTTTTTTCAATAAACTATTTTTCTATATAAATGTGTATAATATAGTTTTTCTTAGTTGAAACGCGTTCGTCGATTGTACTCAACTATTCATTGTTTTTCAATAAATTATTTTAAATTTTCTTGTAAAACATGGAAATTTCGAATATAACTAACCACATTATAATCGTAGATATTTTCTAATTCATTATATTAAATTTTCATGTATTAAAAGAAAATTATAATAAAATTAAAAATAATTTCTTGAAAACCACTGGATTATCAAGTATTTTTTTGTATTAAATAATGTCCATTATTTCATATTATTGGCTATATGAATATTTTCTCTTGATTATCCATACTGTACTAGCTAATCAACAGAAAAAAACAAAATAGGGGATAAATTACTTGCATATGTGCTAGTTTCTGACAAGAAGAATGAAATAATATATTTCTCGTTGATATTTATTATCATCACTGTCATCATCATTCTAAGATTTATATAATCTCTATATCAAATCGTACGAAGAAAAATAGTTATGTTGTCTTCTTAACATGAATAATGGACAAAAATCGATCAGCAAGAAGAGAACGAAATTATGTTGTTTTACCTGTGTGTGTTTTTTTCTTTTTATCGTAATCAAAGAAACAAAATTACTTGTATATTTTGAAAACAGGTCATTATTAATTGCTACGTCTTTACATAGCATCAGCAGTAGACTATTTACTCATAACAAATAATCAAACTAGGAGAGTAAAAAGTATAGCATGTAATGAATGTGATTTATTCGTTTATAATAGCAGTTAATAGTACTAAAAATAGAGAAAATAAATATTAGTTCATGGCGATCATTTTTCTTTAAATAGAAAGCTATTCCTATTTCCTTCAATAAACAATATTTTCTTCGAAAAAAAAGTTCAGTATAATCTATTTAATAAAAATTTCTCACGTTTTTCTCTTAGCTAAGTAATGATAGAACATCTTTACACAGAATTGTTTTTCTCTTTTTCTTAAATTATGTGAGGTCATTTTTGATAAATCAATTTTCAATAAACCTTTTATTGCATTGTTAGTTAAGAAGAAAAAAAAATCTAAAATATTCTTTCCTTTTCCGTAATTATAGTTTTATATTGATTTTAGTCGATAGAAAAATAAAAAATAGAAAAGCTTTTATCAAAAATATATATAATCAAAAGGTAAGTGCAGTAAAAACAGAATCAAAAATAGATAAATTACTCTAGACAATAATAGTTGATATAGAAAATAAAAATGTCAATAGCATATTATTCTTTTTCATGTTCATCGAATTTCAAGACCTTTTCATTGAATATTTTTTTCCTCTTCTTATTTTTGTTACCTTCTCTAAGTAGAATACATCGATCATAGAAAAATATTGCCAATAGGGCAATATAGACTTGACAAATCACTTCATATTTTTCCGGGTTTATGTTTTAACACAGTAAGTAAAAACGAAGAAAGAAATAAAGACAGAGATGATTGATAATACCCATAAGAGAATATTGAAATATGTCTATTTTCTTTTCTACATCTAACAATTGATACATAAAATCTTATTATTTAGTTCATATGTGTCAATTTATGTTGGTGTGTTTCTTATTTTATAAAAAAAATTGTGTGGGGAAGAGATGACGTCGTTTTTTGGTTATTAGACTGTGTTAATTAATTCAATCATTTGATGCTTATTTCCTTGTCTTATATGTACTTAGTAGTGTTGATTAAACTAGATTATACTTTTAGTGTTGATAACTATTTAGACAAGCAAAACAAATAATAGAAAAGAGTATATAAATAACTGAAGGAAAAAGAAAAATCAGGCGTTTCTAAAAAAAGAATCTATAAATTTATTATAGGATGATAAAGTATACATAAATTGATTAGAAAAGAATAAAAATAATAATAATTATAATAAAAGACTTACAGGATTATATATGTAGTGTTAACGCGATTAGAGAATAGTAAAGTACTAAATTCAATATATTAATAAGAATCTGTCGAACAAAGTTACTCTGACAATATTCGATATTAAAACCATCTTGACATTATGTATATATAGACAAAACTTATGTTAGACAAAATTTTCTTCTTTGTACGTCAAAATGGCATGCATCTGTTTGATATTATATCTCTAGGTAAATTGCTTTAATATTATGACATATAAGTAGTTATATATAAACAGAATAAATGATATCATAAATAGATGAATGTAAAAGCCATATGTTTGAATGTAAGAAGCAAAAGTCAAGTGGTATAGTCAAGATTACATAAAATAAAATTCTTTTGCTCTCCATTATTTATTTTTATTAACTAACAATAAAATTCTATTTGATTTTAATATTTATCAGATTTATTTTTTCTTCATGTTTAATCCTATAATCAAATATATTATTTCGATATTTTTGTTTCTTGTTGTAATATAGAAGATATGTCAATAATATGATTGATGTATCCGATCATATCATTTTTATGATATCTCATCTAATGTTATCAGACTTCATGAGTAAAAGGGCTTATATTTTTTTCTCTATATAGACGCATGTAAGAAATAAATAAGAAATTTTTTTATTCAAACTTTAATCATAAACGTATCAATTGTTATTGTTGTTTTTCAATATAGAAAAACTGATCGTAGTATTTTATTTGATAAGTTATATTTCATGTACTTAAATGTTTAAGTTGATATTGATAGATATGGAGTATTTGGTTTTTTATCTTCAATTTATTATTAATGTAAGTTATTTTAAAAAGAATTTGTATATTAATATATTGAATAATGAGATATTTTAGTTAGTTTAGTAAAGAAAGAAAAGTTTATCGAGCGATGTTTTGAATCAAATAAGAAGATATATTATTCTATACATGTGATTTTATTCTTTTCGTTCGAAATAGAATACAACTTTAACATCTATTCTTTTTCTTTTGTTTTCAGATAATCGACCGTCCATGTGGTTGTGATATGCTCATATTATATCTCGATGTTATCAATAGAAAATAAAAGTTTATTAACTAATAATTCAATCGAAAATGAATTATATTGTTCCGCTTTATTTGATAATCTATGTTGGCCTCAAACTCCTGCCAATCATTCAGTCACTATTTCATGTTCAACATTGGCCATGCAAGGAGTTGATTCCAGCAGTTTGTATTTTTTATAAAAAAATTTTATTCAAAATTTTTCTTAAAATTTATTATAGAATTTATCACCCGAGATTGTCTTTCGACAGGACAATGGTCTCCTGTTTCATACCAACCATGCGTTTATGGAGATGTATGGGATTTAATGATGACATTCTATATATCGCGAACACCTGACCAGAGAAAAGTTTGTACTATCAGTACTTTTTATTATCTAATCTATTGATGTTGTTGTTGTTTTTCTTATTAATAACAGGCTTATACAGATATCCTTCAAGCTGTTCGTATTATTGAATTTGTTGGATTATCAGTATCATTTATTAGTGTTCTTGTATCACTTATAATATTTTTCACATTAAAGTAAATTCAAATAATATTACGATAAAAATTGTATTTATTAAAATTTCTTTTAATAGATCTCTCTACTGTAGTCGTACAAAAATTCATATTAATCTATTATCAGCAATATTTATTCAAATAGTTGCACGAATTGTTAATTATGGGTAAATAATAGTGTATCTCTATTTATAACTTTTATATTCTTTGTTATTGTAGAATTCAAATGAAACAATCAAATAGTTCTTCACAAGTAATACCTATGATATGTCATGCTGATGGAAGTGTATCTTCACCAAAAATCTCATCTGTATTAATAAATATGTGTCCATTAATTGTCATATTTCTACAATTTAGTATAAGTTCGATGTTTATGTGGATGCTTTGTGAGGGTATTCATCTTAATAATGTTTTAACAGTTAGTGTGTTTAAAAATCATTTTAAATCATATTATTTTTATATACTTGGATGGGGTAAATATTCTATTTGTTTTTCAAAACAAAAAAATATTTTGTTTATAAATTAGTTCTTCCACTTTGTATTACATTAAGTTGGAGTATTATTATGTTTATTAAAGAACGTGATCGAAAGTAAATAATAATTTTGAAGAAAAATTTAAAATAGAAAGGATTCTATTTATATTTAGATGTTGGGCAAATTATAATTATCTTAAATATTATTGGATTATTGATGGACCACGATATGCAGTAATGATTGTAAGTTTTATGAAATATTTTCAATAATAATATAATTTGTTTTGTTTTTCTATTCTAGATAAATTTTATATTTTTATTGAATATAATCCGAGTTTTATTGATTAAAATTAAAGAAGGTTCAGAAAAACAAATACGTTCAGAGTAAGTTTATTGAATTAATATTATAAAATCGAAAAAAAAATATATTCTATTGATCATATAAAATTAATTAGTTTATATAGAAAGAAATATTCACATACACATTCTCATGGTATTTTAACTAATTTAAAAAGTTTTGTACTCCGGTAAATTAAGCTAGAAATTAAGAATAATATTTGCTTGTCTCATATTTTAATACTATTAACAATATTATAATTATATTTTGTATCATTCAATCTATTCTATTAATTATATTTAGTAAACATCATCGGACTTCAATGAATACAAAATTTGTCAAGTAATTCATGTTCAATATTGATTTTCCTTATATGTAATTTCCTTTTTTTCTTATGTTTATAGAAAAGCAGTTAAAGCAGCAATTTTCCTATTGCCTTTATTGGGTATTACACATATGCTTGAAACATTTGTTTCACCAGGTAAGAAGATAATGAAGAATACGAATTAATCCATTCTTCTTTTTTTTATTTGATTTAAGATGATCAATCAATTCCACTATTTGCATTATATTGCTCGGTGACTTATTTTTTAGTAACATTTCAAGGATTTTTTTGTTCATTATTATATTGTTTCTTGAATACTGAAGTAAATATTTTTTAGTTCTTTATATAATGAATGTCAATTCTGTTTATTTATAAAAGGTTCGCGAAACATTATCTCGTCGGCTTAAAACAACACAAGCTTGGAGCCGTTGGAAACGATTATTAGGTCAACAAGAACGATTTGGAAAGAATAAACTTAATAGTGAAGATCAAACACGATTAGAATTATTAATACCTCTATCTATTTCAGAACCTGTAAGATTTGTTTTTTGCATTCAAAAAGAATATTATTTTCTCGTTTATAGAAAGGAAGTATAATTGAAATGGATGATCGTCGATTAACAGCTGAGGCTGATGTAACTTCTCAACCGACACATAAAGTATCTTGTTAAATATTTATTTAAAGGCAAATCTTTTGTTATATTCTTTTATTTTTCTGTGTATAACTTTTTTTTCTTCTCTTTATTGTTGTTCGATTCTATTGTATTTTTATTTCTTTTCTCTTTGTCTTTGTCAAAAATATTTCGATGAGTCAAGAGTATAAAAAAAATGTACAAATGTCATATTTATTGTATCTTGTTGTATTGTCGACAAAAAACAATTTTCTTTTTAAAAATAATTATGATTCAAAGTTAAAACTATCGGTAAGAATTACATTCATATGAAAATAACAATAAATATACTACTGTCTTTTAAGTTTAATCGTAGGCGCATGCAATATTTATCAGTAGACAAGAATAATTCAAAATTTATCTATTGGAAACGAGAATTAATTGATAGATTTTTATGACATGAAATAGAAATATATATAATAAAAGACTAATATCGGTCATTACATTAAGTTAGTTCTGGAAATATATAAGTAAATTACATTTTTTATTACAAATATATTACGAACAAGCAATTGATTTATATAATATAGCGGATATAAAGCGTATATTATATAATTTGTTCTTATATTGAAATCACATACAATCAAATTGAATATGAACTAGACTGTTAATACTTAAATCTATTAAATTAATAGAAAAAAAAAATTTTTTGAAAATTTATTGATTACATGCATAAATAAACATTTTTAGTAGAACAAAATATGCTTATAAATAAATATATTGTTCCTAAAGTTTTCTACATGGAACCTAATTCTCATTCTAAAATACTTTGCGCAATGACAAATAAAATTAATGAATAAATAAATGTTTATTTTTTTAAATTAAATCAGGAAATAACTTGAGAGAATTATATACTCTGTTTGAGATCATATATCAACTATTTTTTTTTATCAGTATACTTTTTATTTGATCAATAGTGTCAAAGGCAATGTTCATTTCCTTTTTTGTCACATTTATTAACAAACGTGTGTGAAGATAAATCATAGATAACATATTTCATTCTTAGGAAGTAAATAGCATAAGATAAAGGTCATTCATTCAGTAATCTAAAACTATATTAAATGATCGATTCATAAATCAATATAATTCGCAGTTAGTTCCTCTTCAATGAGAATATTATGGATAGATTAAAATCGCCCTCAATCAGTAACATTATCTGACACTTGCATAGTTCCTGTTGTCAATTCAAGTGACTGTCTTGTCCAGTAGACCGTTATCTCGTCTTCTCCTTCTCTTAAAATTGAAAATATACAGCCGGACACTAATCAAATTACCTCAACGCATATGTTCTTCTTGTTATTTTTTCACCAATATATATATACAATATATACTAGCTCAATCTAAATTATACTAGTTTTCATGTCCTCTTGCACTTTATACACTTCCATACACACACACACCATCATCTATTTATTGAGATAACACAACATACTCTTTTCCTTAACTCGATCGACATCTGTTTTGACTACCACCATTATTTCTATATCGATAAATTATGTTCAACTTTAGATAAGCTCACATTCAAATCTTTCTTTTATATATATAAAAAACACCATTAATCGTCACCATTTTCTCTCACACATACGTATATATATAAATATATCGATAACCTTTTTCTTTTCCTCCTCTCCATCTCTCTCTCTCTCTTTCTTTCTCCTTCTCCTGTCTCATTCACGATTGAATGAATTTCCGGCTATAGTTTTGCATTTCATTGATGCCATCTTCGTCATTGCTCAATTGAAAAAGAAAAAGGAGAAGAAAAAGACGAAGAAGAAGGGTCATTCTTTCAATTGAGTCTTCTGCTCAAGGGTAAGTTATAATTATTATGTCTCATGCTGATGTCTTATCCTTCTCTTAACTTGACCATAATAAGCACAATATGAAAAAGGCAAGAGGATTTCTTCTTTTTTTTTTTTGTATCAAAATGTTCTCAGACGACATTGGACACTTGTTGAAAAACGATGATGATGATGATGATAATTTCCGGTCGAAATGATGTGTATATGTGGACAATACATGCAAGAAAGTTAAGTACTGAGGATCACGCACAAATACTTGTAAATTCTATCTCCTCCTTC